GGCACTCTAGCACCAGTTACTAAGGGAGCAGATGAAAAGAGATACATTTTNTCCTCTTAATGGAAAAAGAAGAAAGAAATCTGGAGTGGGAACCCTTTTCCTTGCCTCCTCAATACGCCTCTTACTTGACAAGGGGCTTTTCATTCACTAGAAAATGAAAGACCTCAGAGGCAAATGTTTTTCTGCCTCTAGGGCAGCAGAAATGCTGGCTTACTCCTCAGGACTTAGCAGTGACAAGAAACTCCCTGAAGCCTCACCCGCCCAGAACAAATTAATTGAAGGAAGCCTCCGTCACCTTCTCTGCAGCTCCGGCTGGTGTAGGGACAGGGCCTGAGGCAGCCTGAAAGGGGGCTCCCAACAGCTCCCTTCCACCTTGGCCTCAGCCAGCCAGGCGCTCAAAGTCCTGCCAGGAGGGAACTAATGAGTCCCTTTAGTTGGTGTCATCTGAAGACCAACCTTAGCCACACACAGGGGAACAGAAACTCCATTGAGCAACCATTTCCACAAGGGAGCTCTTTTCTTTCATGTTCATCCACTGAATCATAAATACACACCCATGAGTGCACTCATGCAAGCACGCACTGAAGTTCACGTGCATACATTCTTCTAAAGTCTTGGAAAAGGTTTCTTTCAGTGTTTAACTACAGTTTCAAAGACCACAATGCCGGCCGAATTTTAACTTCTTTGAGATTTATGGTTCTTTTAAATAGAAGGGACATGTATCCAGTTTATTTCAGTCAGTTATGGTACTGCTGTGGACTGAACTGTGTCCCCCCAAATTCCTCTCTTCAGGCCCTAGCTCCGAATGTGACTGTATTTGGAGACAGGGCCTTTAAAGAGCTATTTAAGGTCAAAGGAGGTCTGGTGACTTTATAAGAAGAGGAAGAGACACCAGGGAGGAGTAAGAGAAAAGGCCATGCGAGGACACAGTAAAAAGGTGGCCTTCATACAAGCCAAGGAGACAGGCCTCAGGAGAAACCACCCTGCAGGCCCCTTGATCTTGGACTTCCAGCCTTTGGAACTGTGAGAAGGTAAATTTATGTGGGTTAAGCCACCCAGCCAGTGGTATTTGCTGATGGCAGCCCCGGCACACTAATGCCTTCACCATTCCTTTATTCTCAGTTCACCTCTGTCCAAAACTCTTTTCTGTGTAAGGAGTTACAGAAGAGAAGCTAGAGCTTTCCCTTTCCTTCCTGAGCAATTCAGCCCTAAAGCCATTCAATGAGGTGGAGCAGCAAGCACAGGCTCTGCACAGGGGTGGGGCGCTGGGGAAGGGAATGCAGGGTGCTAGTGCTCAAGGGGATGAGGGGGTCATCCGTGTGGCTGTGTAAAGGGGCACTGCAGACTGGACATAGACGAGAAATTATCAAGTAAGTAAATATATTAAGGACATTGGGAGTCAGCTTCCACTGTGGGAGAAGAAACTTAGAAATATATGTGTGCTTAGCAGCAATGTAAATTGTAAATAAAATGTGACTGCGCTTCTCACTAAGGCTTGAACCCCACTGGGTCTCAAGGCTCTTCGTGACGTGCCTCCATCTACTTCCCTCCAACTTCACCTCGGACACTCACTGAGCCCCGGTCACACTGCCTTCTTCGTGCTCTGTTCTTTCAAGTCTCAGGACTTCAGCTCATGCTGTTCTCTCTACCTTGGACATTCCCACCACCTCCTAAACTGGCCACCTCCCACTCACCTTCCAGGTCTCAGCCTAACAGTCATTTTCTCTGTGAGGTCTTCTGCTGTAGACTGAATGTTTGTGTCCCTCTAAACTTCACATGTTTAAGTCTTAATCCCCAATATGATGATATTAGGAGGTGGGTGCTTTGGAAGGTGATTAGGTCTTTTGGGGGAAGCTCTCATGAAGGTATTAGCACCCTTATAAAAGAGGCTCCAGAGAACTCCCTTACCCCTTCCACCTGCGAGGACATAGCCAGAAGATGGCCCTCTGTGAACCAGGAGGTGGGCCCTCATCAGACACAGTATTTGCTAGTGCCTTGATCGGGGACTTCTCCAGAACTGTGAGAAATAAATGTCTGTTGTTTAGGTCAACTAGTCTGTGGTCATTTGTTACAGTAGCCCAGACAGACTAAGACACTTGCCCTGACTTACCAACCTAAATTACATCCTCCCTGTTATTCTGTCTCGGAGCATCCCTTTCTCTTCCTTGCCGCTCATGCCATTGGTAATGATGTATTTCCATTTGCTTGTTTAACAGCCACCTCACCCTGGAGACTGAGAGCCCAGTGGGGGCAAGGCCGGGGTCAGCCTCGCTCACTCTGTTTCCCAAGAGAAAACAGTTTTTAAATTATATGTGAGAAAGAGAACGTGCATGTTTCTGTGTGTGTGTGTGTGTGTGTGTGTGTGTGTGTGTGTGTGTGTGTGTGTTAAGTTTATGCATTTCATATTTCTTATTAAAGCTAATGTAATAAATGGAAAAGGAAAAATTCAAAAGTATGTGGAACACGGGGAAGGAAAAATTAACTTTCATGGGAAAGCAGGATACTGGTAAACCCAATGGTTAAACACGTGGTCAAAAAGCTCCTCGGAACAGACCACCCTACTCCAGGATAGGATGCATGTTTCACAGTCTTAGAAAGAAGAGAATCATTTCTGGGTCGGGAATAATTGTAGAATGCACCGATATTCAGTTTCAACCTTGAATTTCAGCCAAATTTGTTATTTGGCTGTGGTGCTAGAAGGCTGAGCAGGCAAATGCCATCATCAGCATCATTCCTGGCATCCCTGGACCTGGGAGTGTGTGTCATTCTATCACATCTGATCAGCATCATGACCTCAGAAAAACAAACAAGCCATGTCATCTAGATTTACTGTCGATATCTGAATATTCACTTTAGCTAGCAATGAAGGTTAGTCCCTGCATGATAATATCAGACCTTTAAAATCTGACTACAGTGTTAATTACTGAAATTGTGGTAATAATTTAAAATGTTGATCAATTTTCAGGTCTATTCTTATATCTTAGAAGTCCATTCTATGATGGTGATGTTTGATTTTAGCCTTACATTGATACGTTGATTTTACACTCATCCACTCAGCCAGATGTGTAATATCTCTAATTTTAATTAGCATGATGTGACATAATAAAATGCTAATTAGCATCCTTTAAAATTCTCATTTCATAGCCAACAAGATAAAATGGGGAAATGTCAGATTCCTCAAATTAACCCAGAGCCCTGGTAAATTCTATTTCCACAAAGGATCCAAACCCAGGAGGAACACTTTCTTTCCCACCCACACCTGGCCTAAGACCTGTGAATCAGAGGATTTTACTCCTTTATTGTCCTCTACCGCCACTCTTAAAACACATCTTCCCAGGCTATCACCTCCCTCTCCCTCGTATCTCAGTAAGAACAGAAGTCCAAGGGCTCTGTTCTGATGGTGGCTGAAAAGGGAACGTCAAACGATCAAAGGTCCCTTCGGAAACACAGAGGACACGTGTCCACAGGGCCACAGACAGTGACTCAGAGCCCAGTCAGGTGAGTCACCGAGGATGCACCGGCAGAGCACAAAGCCCCTCCTAAAGCAATCATGCTGCCCCCTCCCCAAGCGCTGCCCGCTTTGGAGCCGCTTGGCCTGGCCTGCGTGGAGTCCTTCTCCCTGGGCTCTCTAAACAAACGGCTTCCTTTGCTAATCGCCTGCTGTGGCTCATGACAAGAGCAATGATTCACTGACTGAGGTCTGAGCTTTGGGTTAATGCAGAGACTTAGTTTAGCAGTTTGGGGAAAGACTCTTCTAGCTAATTGTTATTGTCCTTCTTTCCTTCCCCAGGGAAGGATGATAAAGACAACTTTTCCACCTGTCTTTCCCTTTTTCCCCTTTGCCTTTTCCAATTGATTACTGCCTTGGGTAGTCAAGAGATTTCAGACAGAATTTCTTTGGCAAGGAAATAGTGGCGACATACAATGGTGGCCGAAAAGACACAAAGGTAACTCAGGCTAGAACCATATGATGTCCCAGTAAGTAACAAACCCAGAGAATGACTTGGCAGCAGTTAGTCTGGTAGGACTCAGAAGTCGGAAGATGTAATAAAGATGGTTAGGTTGCACTGTAGACCCTCCAGCTTCCCATCCCGAGTGAACCAGCCAGCAGCCTAACTACCCTTTGTTCAGCTTGTCAAGGAAAAGTGCTATATTATTTTTAAGAAATGATGACCGCACACAGTGTGGTACTATAATCTGTGATGATGGCTGGAACTATGGCACAGGAAGGTTTCAGAGAAACAACCTGTGACTAGGAGAAAAATGCTGATAAAGGGATGAAAGAACCTTATGCAATTCTAGTATGATACATTACAAAATGAAAAGGAGAAAATAAAGCTTAAGTTCAGTAATAAGTTTCTGCTTACAATCTCCTTTTTGGAATTTCTGACATCAGAGAGCTTAGGAGACTTCAACTTGCTAAGCACCAAGGAAAACAGAAAACATTTCTCACTTGAAGTATCATCCTTAGGATTTGCCGCACAATTACCAACAAGGGCCAGGCTGGGAGAAACTCAGACTTCTCACGGTGTCCCAGTCAATTAAAATACATATCAAAAAAATCCATCCTTTACCACTCCCTGGACTGTACATCTGATACAAAGTATAATATGAAGAAGAAAAACTTTATAAATATGAAGAAGAAAAATAGATACATTTACTAGTCTGAACACCAGAGTAGCCAGTCACAACTAAGCAACAGAAACATGAACTTCCTCCCCCATCTTCAGACCTTAGAGCTCAGGCCTTGAGGGCTATCCCCATGTCACACCTGAGGCTCAGGACAAGGACAGCTTCTCCTCCAAACAGCTTTCTCATAGGGGAAGGAGTTGGGGTCATGAGCATATCCAGGTAGCTATGGATATACATATCAAGGTCCAGAAACACACCAGTCTTGCAGCAGACTTATCCCCTGAGATTGGATAGGCTCAAGGAGGAAAGAAAGGCTCCCACGGGAGGTGTGTCTTCCAGATTCCCTCAAACTCCTAAACACAGCTTACCTTGGTACAAGGTGGTTGAACTTGTAAGAACTGAAGACATCTTGGATCTTTTCTTCTACTTTTGCCTGAAAAGAATGCAAGAGATGGGGGAGAGAAAACAAATACAGATGAGACCTCTATCAACTTTTTCTTCCTATTTGCCACAAATACCTATTGGTACAGTTGCTTGGTGTGGTTTGTACTTCACAGTACTGTAAGACTAAATCCAGGAAGTGGGATGACAGGCGTAGGACACAGAGACTGACAGAATGCCTGGTACCATCTTGGCATCACAATTAAACTCTCTAGTAAACGAATCGATAATATCCAAACTAACAGCAGTTTTGGAGTTTGGCACTCTAGCACCAGTTACTAAGGGAGCAGATGAAAAGAGATACATTTTACTTGGAAGATTTATTCTTGCCCACTCTATGAAGTTGTTTAAGTGTTCATTTAACTGGCCATTCCTCAAATGCACACTTAATTCCTGCCAAGGGTCATATGTCTCATCAGACTGAACAGCTCAAATACAGGTTGAACAGTATTAAAATCCTCTAAGGGATTTACAAGAACATCAATTGTCGAAACAAGAAAGAAACAGCACATCTGGTCATTGGTCCTATGCCACACACACGACTCTACAGTCCCATAAAACGAAGGATCTCAAAAAGGCAGGCCATAAAAGAAACCAGATCAGCTGTTTCTTCTGAAGTGCATACCTAATGTGGTCACACAGTACAGCTTCTATAAGGAAAAGTCACGGTAGTGCAGGGAGTGCTGGTCAGCAGGATACAGGGTTTCACCTTCATTAGCTTTTCATAGTGAGGCATGCCCTTGTTGACATTTCAAGATACATAATAATCTCCTCTCTAGGAAATTTCAAAATGTATTATTTATTTTGGAAACACTCACTGAGTTAGGGCTTCTAAAGTCTATTGGACAAGTGTGCAGGAATTACTTGTGATGATGAGAGGAGCAGTGATGTGAACCACCTAAAATGGCAGCCAATCTAAAACTCATTCACATTTGGCTTTAGGATATCCTTTGGTATTTGCCTTTGAACATGAGTTTGAGGGATGATCTGGCTCAGAATTTGCAATACTTCAAAAAAAAGGACTGAAGTCTTTGTGAGACTCTGACTCGGGAGGAAGAAAGTGTCCCAGATTTCACACAATTCTTTTTCCTTTCCAGACACTCAGATAGGACGTTTAAAGCACCAGCCTAAATGGAACACAGACTGCATTTCTCAGTCATGACTACCTTAGCAGTAAGCTGGAAAGTAATGGGAAATATATAAGAAGCAACTGTCAGTAAGATCATTAAAGATTTGCCTACAGTATACAGTTATAACTAAGTGAATCAATGAATTTTGAATTAAACAAAACCAAGTAGAAAGAAAATTCACTTCCTTTACCCAAATACAGGTCGATTCAAATTCATATGACTTAATAATATCCAAAGGCTAATGGATGAGCCTCACCTCCTTAGCATTCTGACACTTAGACCCCTAGGAAGAAAAGGTGAAGCCAAGAACTCCTTAATGAGAATCCCCACCTTTAGTTCCCACTCAGGAGATGTGAGCAGCCAAGAACTAGGTGAGGAAAACAGAGGTTTATTTTACATGAACAAATACATGTATGTCATACTGCAAAGTAGAAAATGATTAAAATATTCCCAATAGAGCATCATTTTTTTGGATTTCCTAATCACTCTTCTTTAGAATGAACAAGTGATGTTCTAATTAAATTAGTAACTGACTCACGTCTGAAAATCTGAGTTATGAATTCTAATAAATACCTGAGTGTTAAAGAACAGCTATTCATAATAATGGACAAATAACAATCTCCTTTATTTTCTCTAAAGAACTGGCATATTTTTTTATTAGCTTTATTGAGATATAATTCACACATCATTCCATTCACCCATGTAAAGTGTGTAATTCAATGGCTTTTAGTGTATCCACAGTTATGTACCCATTACCACAACCAAATTGAGAACATTTTCACTACCTCAAAAAGAAATCCTGCACCCCTTAGCAGTTGCCCCCAATCCTCCATCCATCCCACCCTATTGATTTACTTCCTATCTCTAAAGATTTGCCTATTCTGGATATTTCATGTAAACATAATCACACAAAATATGGTCCTTTGTGACTGTCTTCTCTCATTTAACATGATGTTTTCAAGCTTCATGCATGTTGTAGCATGTACCAGTATTCAATTTCTTTTTATTGCCAAGTAATATTCCATTGTATGGATATATCACATTTGTTTATCCATTCATCATCTGATGGGTATTTGGGTTGTTTCCACATCTTGTACCAGTTATGTTGCCTATTATGAATAAAGCTGATACAACCATTATTGTACAAGTGTTTGGATGGACATGTTTTCATTTCTACCTAGGCATAGGTATACACCTAGATATAGAATTGCTGGATCATATGGTTACTGTATGTCTAACTCTTTGAAGGATTGTCCGACTGTTTTCCAAAGTAGGTGCACTATTTTACATTCCCACCCAGCAATGGATGAGAGTTCTAATTTCTTCACATCCTCACCATCACATTATTATCTGTGTTTCTGATTATATCCATCCTAGTGGGTGTGAAGCAATATTCCTTATAGTTGTGACTGCATGTACCTGAGAGCTAATGATGTCAAGCATCTTTCTGTGGGCTAATTGGTCCTTTGTAGATTTTCTTTAGAGAATGTCTATTCAGATATTTTGCTCATTTAAAAAAATGGGTTATTTGTCTTTTCATTACTAAATTGTAATCCTTACGTATGCTAGGTACAAGTCCCTGGTATTCTTGATACAAAACAGATAAGTGATTTGCAAAAATTTACTCCCATTCCGTGGATTGTCTTTAGGAAATGGTGTATTTTAGCAGATCACCTGGTTTTTAGAGTACAACCTAAAAATAATACTAAGCAGCAAGCCTGCAGGGTTTTTTGACAAATAGTAATGATTAATATAAAAATTCAAAGTACTTGGGGAGAGAAGAATCAAAGTAATCCCCAAAACGTGCAACATATCTTTTTTGCTTCTTTTCCTCATATAGCCTTTATACAGTGTTATGTAAACTCTGAGTAAAATTGTTACTGGGAATTTCAAACAATATGGCTTCTCTCTCACTTACCAACTTTACAT